TGTCAGTTCCTAAGGAAGAAGGTCGAGTTCCTCGGATACATTATCACAAACAACACAATACAGCCATCCGAAGCAAAAACCAGCGCGATTAGGAATTTTCCCTTACCAAATGATAGGAAATCCTTGCAACGTTTTCTTGGACTCACGTCGTATTTCCGCAGATTCGTCGACAACTACGCTGTGATCGCGAAACCGCTATCCTTACTCCGGAAGGACGCGAAGTTCTCACTGCAGGATGACCAGCTAGCCGCGTTTCAGCAGCTAAAGTCAGCGCTGTCAAGCGCTCCAGTCTTAAGACTATACAACCCGCGAGCGGTAACGGAAGTGCATACGGATGCCAGCATGGTTGGCTACGGCGCAGTCCTGTTGCAGAAGGATGTCGACGACCAGGAGTTTCACCCAATACAGTATATGAGCCGGAAGACGAAGCCGTCCGAGGAGAAGCTGCATTCATACGAGCTCGAGGTCTTAGCAGTCGTAGAGGTGCTAAAGAAGTGGCGAGTGTACCTCATGGGAATCAAGTTCAAGATCGTCACCGATTGCAATGCCTTCACGATGACGATGAAGAAGCGAGATGTTCCTCTGCGAGTATCCCGATGGGCGATGTTTCTTCAGGATTTCGACTACGAGACCGAGCACCGCAGCGGCACGAAGATGCGTCACGTCGACGCCCTTAGCCGAGTCTCATGCCTGATCTTGGAGGATTCGCTACGCCACCGTCTGAAGCAGGCCCAGCAGCAGGACGACTGGATTCGAGCTGTGCGCAAAGTGTTGGAGAAAGACAGCTTCGACGACTTTTATGTCAAGTACGACATCCTCTACAAAGATCCCATCAAGGAGCTCGTAGTTGTGCCGTCGGCTATGGAGGAAGAGATCATCCGAGTGGCGCATAAGCAAGGCCACTTCTCGGCAAAGAAGACGCAAGACGCTATAGAGAAGACGTACTTCATACCACAGCTGTACGCAAAGGTGGTCAAGATCATCAGGAGTTGCATAGAGTGCATCGTTACCGATTCCAAGGCCGGCAAGAAGGAAGGCTTCCTGAACCCCATTAATAAGGAGGACAAGCCACTGAGTACCCTCCACATTGACCATGTCGGACCGATGGAGCTGACTAGGAAAGCCTACAACCACATCTTAGTCGTAATAGATGCCTTCTCCAAATTCGTCTGGCTATACCCGACAAAGAACACCGGCGCAGAGGCTGTGGTTGACCGATTGCGGAAGC